ATCCTAATTCTTGATTCACAAGTTCTCTGGATTGGGTTCAAAATTACAAGGAGTTGAACATCAGTAGTTGTAAACCCAAATTTGGGTCAGCTGTTCAACGACGGTTATCTCAGTCATTTCTTTTAGTTATGTAACAGATATCAAATTATTATAATTTTTTTTTGACGTGTAAACAATTTAGGAAAATAATTTCACATCCAATAATTTAAAAACAAATTTTTATATAACGTTAACACATATACAGTGCAAAACACTTGAGTATAATTTTTAAAAATAAAATCTACAATCAAAAATAAAAGGAAGGGGGGAACATCATTTTTTATGAACCAGAGTCTCTCTCAATTGTGTGTAATAATAAATTTTAATTAAATCTCACATCTGGGGAGAACAATTATATCCAATTAATAATCCTTATTAAAATAAACTACAATACATTGAATAAATTCTATGCAGGGTTGCCATTCTCTTAGTTATAATTGGCTTGAACATACTTAAAATAAATAATGCTATACTAAATGCAAAATATCCAATAGATGGCGCCACTTTTAAAAGCCTGTTATTTTAGGTGATTTCCCTGTGGAGTGGCAACCTTGCTTTTCTTATAAAACTTGAAGAACAAACCTTAAAAAGCACACATCAAGTGAAACACATAAGAAAGCTTTACCACCTTGTATAATTTCAGGTAAAAATTTAATTATATTTGTCACCTTTTCAACGTAACAATTGATTGTTTTGTTTAAATCTTTTTATTTTTTAAACCTTTCATTTTACATAGCAGTTTATTTTATGTGAAATTTTTCTTAAATGAGGGTTTTCTCATATAAATTTCTTAAAATATCTTTTCGTAAAAAACTTTCTCTTCTTGGTTGTTTATTGCACTTCCTGATTTTCTTCATTTATTTTTTACTTAACTAAAAATTTAATTGGCTTTTCTAGGTCCCTCTGGTTTTGCTCCCTCCCAGCTGCTGGTCATTAAATATTTCAAGTACACTTTTTTTTTTTAAAACAGACGAAAAAATCTGTCTCACTCAGGAAATGAGACAATTTGATCGTCAATAATGAAAATGATTCCAGCGATGGAAATCAACAGATGGTTTAAAAGTTATAGAAGAACCAGCCTTCTTGTTTATCCCTAACAAAAATTGGAGAAACATTGCTACACAGAAGGACTTTTTTAAGCTCTCTCTCTCTTTAATTCAGGATTGCCACTTCATTCTGGAAACAAACTATATTTATTAGTTTTAATTGCTGGAAAAACGGCTGAACATACTTAAATAATACTATAGTAAACGAAATAGTTTAGTATAGCTGAAATATTATCCTTCAATATACCTTGGATTTGAGGGGTCACCATTTTTTAAAAGACAAAAATAAGAAACTATGTTCCCTGTATTTTCCCAGTTTGTAAAGGAAAAAAAAATCGAAATTCCCTGTTATTTTAGATGATTTTTTTTAAATTCCCAGGTTTTCCTTGTGGAGTGGCAACCATGTAATTATAATATGAATTGCAGGTGATATAAATTTTGTATTTTGTTAAATATATTACATTTATACCTACTTTTTCGCTTCTTATAGTCTTCGCTTTAACCGAGTTTTTCGGTTATCCGGGCGAATCGTGGTTCACATTAACTCGGATAATCGAGACTCTACTGCAATTCTTTCTTCCACGTCTTTGACTTTAAATATGATTATTCGATATATATATATATCAAATCCTTATAAGTTTCGCTCCTTTATACCTACCCATTTAAAAAAAACAACCTCATTTAAGGAAATCACTTGGAAAAATGCTTGCATAAAATAAATTCAAACTGATATGTAAATATTTCAATGTTTATATCCAATTAATAATCCATGGGTTACTTAATATTTTTATGATTTTATTAAAATAAAATGCTAATAAAAAGAATACTATACATTGAATAAATTTTATGCATTTATAAAACACAGTCAAATGCCGTTTTAACGAATTCCTAGGGACCGTAGCAGTCCCTAAGCCACAATTTGTTGTACTGATATAGCAACTTTCAACATGAACCAAAATTATTTTGCGTCATTGGGATACTTCGCATGATCGCATTTAATTACAGTTTATTGGTACTCTCCACATGTGGAAAATATCACTTACTTATGAGATGACATTTTTTCTTCTTTACAAATGATTTTGAACCAGTAGAAATTGCGATCCAAAAAATGATGCACACATTCAAACAACTGAATTACGCTTTTCAGAAAGAGCCACATGTCAAACATGAACGGGGTTTCGGTCCCTTTTTAAATATCTTTTTATTTTGAAGAAGCAAAAATATATGAGTACTTTTGAAGAATGGAAAAGTGTTTCGAGAGAAAATGGTTGCTCATCTTCAATAAATTAGATTTTCGGTATTTTTTAATTCATTCGGAAATTCGGTATTAGTACTCAGCACAATATTTCTATGTCATTCTTTCTTTATACTATTCTCCACTATTGTTATGATTTGATATTTTGTGTTTATTGCAGATTAAAATTTTATAAAAAAAGTGGTATTCTTTCCTGCTATATCACCTTATTACGTAGCGTTTTATAAAGAACATTTTAAGAAAAACACATTAAAAACGGTAATTCACTTAACCATTTCAAATTATTACCTAACAGCAAAAATTTTATATTTACTTCTATAATTAGCTGCATAATTGGAAATATCGGTATTTTTAATTCATTTTGTTTCTATAGAGATTCATTTTGTAACACTGAAATTTTTGCTATTTCGAATTTCGTATAAAACGGACTGAATTAGTTCTCAGCATAACATATAATTAAAATGATCAAAAACGATTTGTCAGCACATTTCATACGGCCAGAAAAGGGGTAATGTTTTTTCATCAATAAATAAATAATTTATTGTTTTCATCATTTGAAAGCATTTACTCGTAACATTCTTGGGGATTCAGGAAAATAATCGTTACATTGAAATGTTCGCTATTTCGTATAAAACGGGATTTGACTGTATTACATTAGTATTTCCCATTGAATTGAAAATGTTTTTTTTATTATAATTACATTATTTGACGAGAGTATCAACTGTCTGTGTATTTAGAAAAGAAGTGATAGAGTGACTAGAAATAGGATTTAAATAACAGGATTCCCCCCCCCCTTTTATTCAAACAACAACCCATATTGGGCTAACTATACTAGTTTCAACTTAGAGAAGGAACATACTTAAATAATGCTATAAGTAAATGATATACAGCTCAGTATGGTTGGAATATCGGCCTTATAATATCCCATAGATTATGCTTTGAGTCATCACCATTTCTTAAAAGACAAAAGTACTTTCCCAGTTTCTAAAGAAAGAACCAAAATTCCCTGTGGAGTTGCAAACCCTGAATGAGCCCCCCAAAAAAAACAGATTTTAACAAAAACACAACATGTTTAAAAACAATAGAATATTTCTCACGCATGGTTAGAAAGAGGTGAGTTTCAAATGCTGAAAACAAATTAATATTTTTGAAACTTTATGGTTCACCTTTTGGATGTAGTCTCTCCCCCGCAATATACAGTCCCTGGTAAAATTATTAGACGCACTGTTGTTTTTTAATAATAACATGCTTTGCACGAGTTTGTATGCAATACTCTTATGTTTAAACATACACATACCCTCCAACTACTACGGAATTTCCGTAGTTTCAGAAATCTTCTTTTCAGACGGTAGCAAAATTAATGTCTTAATATTTAAAAAAAAATTATTTTAGCGTAACTTGTCCACTATTACTTATAAAAGTGCAGGCCATATGGCTAGATTCTTAAGTTTTGATAAAAGCTTTATGAGAGATCCATTTGCTTTAAAAATTTCTACTTTGGTTCGCTACCACTAGAAAGAATTATTTTCAAAATCTTCATAAGTTGGAGGGTATGCATACATGTCATGCGTTTTTATTCGAGAGATTTTTTATATACTTCCCATTTGTATTTATTTTCAACCTATTTGCACTACAATGTTAATCATTTGATATACAAACCGGTTTGAGTCACGTACGTCAGTTGCACACTGTGTTTGTTTCCTAGTTTTATTCTACACACCCTAGCAGCAAAATAAGGAGGATCCTCATCGGGGCCCATAGTCACGCATCTCGGCTCCACGAGGGTTCAATACTTTTTAAACACGGGCCCCGTATAGAATTGTCCGATTCACCCGATACTTTAACTGCCACTTTACAACCCATATCAGCTTTATATAGAATGTTCAGACTCACCCGATATTTTATAATCATTACTCAGCCAACACAAGCCCTATATAGGTCGACACTGCATAGGACCCATATGAAAAAATCTAGACATCCCAATATGGGTCCCTCGGAGCACGTTCATAGTGAGCCCAAGATATAATTGTGAATAAACAATCAATTGGGACATTTTCCTCCTGGGTAAGCTGAAGTAACATTTTCCAAAAGATTTAAAGGGTTTCTGAAGAGCCCAAAACAAAAGATGCGTCAGTGAGTCTAATAATTTAGCCAGGAAATTTGTATCTAAAGTATTGTTTTTATTAATTAAGTAAAACATTACAAAATTTCAAATAAATTTTTCTGTGACAACAATTTTATAATTTGTGTAAAGATATCTACAAATACAGGGTTGCCACTCAAATCTGGAAGAAAAAAAAATTCCCTGTACATATTATATACAATATATTAAGAGGAAAAACGGAATTACTGTGCTCTTGTGTGAGCTATAGTGGGCTCATATATATATATATTATGATGATGTCAGCTATATATATTATTATTACACTAGTTTTAATTGCTGAAAAAGTGAGAGAAAAAAAAAAGGAACAGCTGAACGTACTTAAATAATGTTATAATTAAATGAAATAGTTTAGTATAGCTGAAATATCATCCTTCAATATACCATAGCTTTGAGTGGTCACCATTTTATAAAAGATGAAATTAAGAAACATAATTTCCCGCATTGAAAAGAAAATAAATCAAAGTTATTTCGGGTCATTTTCAAATTCTTTTCCAGGTTTTCCCTGTAGACTGGCAACTTTGTATAGGGTCCTCTAGAGTAGGGATGCACAACCTATGGCCCGCAGACCACATGCGGCCCGCCAACTGTCGTGCACGCCCTCAGGAATTTTTCAACAATTTGGTTTTAGCTTAAACATTATAAATTTACTTTAATTAAAATTTATAACCCCCTCAATATTCATGTATGTATAATAAATACATGCATCATATATATATATATATATTTGATAAATTAATTATCGTGAAAAATGGAGAAAATTTTTTTAAAAAAAGTAATAGTTTCTTTAGGTTTAAATAAACTCAATGAATTAAAAGTATTTAATTTTCTGCAAATATATGTTATTAAGTTAACTGATATTTAGTGCTCAGAACGTTAATGTCTAGATTATCATATTTGCTGCTAACATGACTAAATATGAGCCCTTCTGTGTAAATGACCCTTCACCCAAAAAGACTGTGCATCCCCTACTCTAGAGTATCATTAAAATAAAACATATTCTGTGTAAAGATAGAAAATATGAAAGCCACTCAAATCTTCAATTCCCTCTGTACATATCATACACACAAGAACTTTTATGTAAGGACTAACTGCTGGAAACATATACTTAAAACAATAAAATGAACTAAAATATCAACAAGAAAATAAGAAACAAAATTCCCTGCAGGAGTGGCAACCCTGAAATGCGAAAGCTTAACATGGGGGCCTCGAAGAAGAGGTTTTACGGCAGTTGACGACAACAGGCTCTCACTCCTGTCTCTAAATTCTGGCAGCCGTTCGAAGTGTCCGGGTGCGGTCCGTCCACTATTTGGTCGCAATAAAACAGATTCTCAGGTTTGAGGAAGGTGAGGGCGCTGGTCAGAGAGCAAAGACCGGGACCCGTCAACAGCCAGCAACCGGACACGTCCAAGAATTCCAACATCTTCAAAACACCCGCTTCGAAAAGGCACCTGAAATTGGAAAGAGTAACACAATGGATTATCTCTCCCGAGTCAACATTTTTGGATGGTAACCATCCTTAATTCTATCAAGAACCATTGTATTTTTGGATGGTAACCGACCATCATCCCGACGTAGGAATGTAGACCGAATGATGATGGTCCGACATAAGAAAAGCAACTCGTTTAGATGGTATATTTCTGAGAATCAACAAGAATTACCATAACGGATTGTTCATCCATGAGAATCAAACTTCTTTCGATGGTCAACCGTCATAGTATTAATGTATCATTTCCCATCATGGAATGATGGAAGTTTGTCAGTATATAAAAAACCACGAATGAATTACGGAAAAAGTCGTATGACGGTCACCCTAAAATGACGTCGAACCGTATTGAAGCGCACCGAAGCCGTCGAAACCTTTCGACGGGACTGTCAAGAATTTTGACTCGGGCTGCTCTACTTCCGGTTAAAAAGTATACAGCTGCTTAATACAGCTTATTCTATGAGGAGATATTTTGAAACAGACAATTTAGTTTTTAATAAAAAAAAAAATTCTGTCATTTCTGAAAATTTCATTATGTTAGCCTATTTTTCGAGCAGCGAGATTAAGTTCATTTTACAAATTATCATTGAGGTTTAAATTTCGAAGTTGGTATAGTGGTGATAAGGTAAGAAGTGTTTTATAACAATTCTTCTTTTAAACACAAACAATAAATTAGGAAATAAAAAGACGTCTACAAGAAATACTTAAATAACACTGATCACTTTGTGAGCCAAATGGCTTCAAAACACACTAAAAACAGTAACCCGGAAGTATAGGCAGTCTAGAGCTTGCAGCGCTCCATAGTGTAGAAAACACCATCCCTATCTTTCAAAAAGAGCCTTAATAAAAACATATTTTTCAAAAATCAGCCTTAATAAAAATATGTTTTTCAAAAACAGTATTAATAAAAATATATTTTTCAAAAATAGCCTTAATAAAAACTTTACTTTTGGTAAGCAAGGGTCCTAAAATTAAATCTAAAAAGAAAACTTAAAATATTTATAAAATACTTTTTCCTTTAAAATAAAAACAAATTTGAATATAAAAGCTACACATTTTTTTATGTCAAGCTGACAGCTTTACAACAAATTTTAATGCATAAATTTTAAAATAATTTTTCTCTTATATTAATAATATGGTTACCTGAATTTCAAACCAAAATCTTTTACAAATATCAATAATGCAATGAAATAGAACTAAATATAGGGTAATTCAGTATGAATAGAGCTATTACAAACAGCTATAACACTTAATGAAAAATAATTTATTGATAAGAATAACATGGAATGGACATTTCTTTACGTAAAGTTTATAATCTTTTATTTATCTATTCGTAATGGCTCAGGGGATAGAGTGCTCGCCTCCCAAAGAGCTCTGCCGGGTTCGAAACATGATCGATATGAATTACACATGCACACCGATCACAGTGCTGAAGTAAAATGCCCTCAGTGGTAGACGGATCATGGGTCACAGTTCCCTTGTCTCCGGGCTAACAGTGGAAGGTTCTCGTGGTTTCCCTCTCCATGTAACCCAAATGCGGATTAGTTTAATCAAAAAAGTCCTCAACAAAGGCAAAATTACTCTCAGTACTTGCTGCAGGAGTTCCCTTGCTTTCTAGATTGGGTTCACAATTAATAAGCTACGTAGTTGAACAGTAGTAGTCGTAAACCAAAAAAATTGGGTCGGCTGTCCAACGACGGTTATAAAATAAAATCTTTCTGTAACTGACCATTCATTAAATTCTCTTTATTTCTACCCAAGCATGGAAATAAACTTTGCACTGGTTTCAAATACTCCTTAACCAGCTTGATTAAGAAATAATTGACAATTTTCTATTCGTAACAAATTTAAATAGATTCTGTTGTTGCGATCATCTGCTTGATTAATAAACACAATTACAGTTATTACACCCACTTCTTAAGTAAACATATTTATCTTCATAGTTTCTGGAGAAAATTAAAAATATAATGAAGCTCTAAAAGCTATGCATTATCTGATTAAGTTTTAATGACTTAGGATAATTAAGAGATATTAATATTGACTATTAAATTGTTATAATAATCAAATAGTTCAATTACTTGCATAAATTAAATAATATTTAAGGTTAACAAATAATACATTACAGAAAAAAAACTTGCTGAACTGAATAAAATAATTGCAAAAAAATTGATTGAAAGCTGCATATTTTTGTATATAACAAAAAATCTAATGTTTATAGATACTTAAAATCGTTATAATAAACAAATAATTCAACTACCAGTATAAATGAAATAATATTAACAAATAATGTATTACCAGAAGTAACTTACACACTGAATAAAATAAATAAATGGAGAAAAAAAATAATAAATTTAAAGCTGAGTGTAGAAAAAGAGAAGATATATATTCTTGTTTATGATATATACTTTGTATAAGATATATATTCTTGTATACGAGATACATAGTCTTGTATAAGATAGATATTTTTGTACATGATATATATTCTTGCATAAGACATATATCAGGGTGCGTAGAAATATTATTCAACACAAAATAAGCACCTTTTAAGCACTTTTCAAGAACTCAAATAATATCCTTAAGCACTTCAAAAAAATTTCAGAATTAGGCAGGGTTGGAAGGTTTTTGACAACTGACAGTTTTATCTTGTTTTAACCGTCATGCCAAAAAAAAAATCATGAAAGTTTGAATAATGTAAAACGAGCGTCATTTTCATAAGCAATGGACTGTCATTACGTCAAAATAAATTGGGTTTGAATTAATTGTGAAAACGTGTTGAATAAAACAATGTGAACTGTGTTTTTTTTGCATAATTTGTAGCGAAAATCAACATGGTAAAGGAAAACTCTCATTTTGAAAAGGGAAAATTAAGCACTTTTTAAAAACGCTACGCACCCTGTATATTCTTGTATATATTATGCATAGTCTTGTATAGAACAAAGTGAAAAATTAACATTACAAAGCAGAAAAATAAGTGGAATTACCTCAATCCTTCATCCGTAATTTCACAGCAACCCGAAATACTCAAAAACTTGAGAGACTTTGTCTCTCTTCTTCTCTTCTGAGAGGAAGAAGTGAAGAAAGTGGCCGTCGTCTTACGAACGCTGCTCGCACCCGGCTGCTGCATGTAGTAGGGACAGTTCAGAGACAGCTTTGCCAGGTGACACATGAAACCGTCTCTCTGCCAGCAACAAGAGCTGCTGCAAAAGTCAATTTTGAGGCAACTTGCCGTCTCTTCAATCTCACAACAGCAGTTGTTGTTTGCCTGTAGACAGTCCCTCAGGTAGATCTCCCTCAGGTGATGGGAGCCATCCGGGAGATCGGGTGGTAAGACGGCCATGCAGTCGGCCAGCCAGAAAAGACCCAGGTCTGTTACGTTTTTACATCCTGACATGTTGAGGTGCTGTAAGTTTAAGCAACTCGAATATTCCTTTAACCTGAAACAGTATGTATTGACTGTAAAATTGCTAGACTATTATGAATGCCTAATTAGTTACATAGGGTGGTATGAATGACCTGCAGGGTGCATAGACAGATTTTTCAACAAAAAATAAGCACCTTTTAATTACTTTTTAAGAACTCAAAAGATATTTTTAATCACTTTAAAAAAAAATTATAATTAGGATCTGCAGTGATAAAAATTATTTTTTTCTATCGTTCTTAATTTACAAACATAAAATCAATGATATTCAAAAGCTTCACATAATCATGATAAAATAACTAATATCTGATAAATATTGCGATGAAAATTGTGAAAATCATGCATTTCTTGTAATTTAGAACGACAATCGACATGGCAAAAAAAATCCCTCTTGAAAAGATAGTAAATTAAGCACTTTTTACAAACCCCGAATAAAAAAAAGCACCTTAAGGGCTTTTAAAAAAGTTAATTAAAAAATAAGCACCTTTAAGCACTTTTAAAAAAGGCTACGCACCCTGACTTGTAAGATCCTGTTATACTAATTTAGGTACTTAATGTATGTACACGCTGGCCACTCAAATCTATAATTCTCTGTACATTAATCATATTAGCATTCATAGAAAGATTATGAGATTTTTTGGTTCGATTTCACAGGGTGGAAAATGAAGCCTAAAATTGAGAATATTTTGCAAAATACAGTAGAGTTGCACATTAGAGTGGAAGAATCTCACCGAATCCAGCTCATTATACGCACAGGCGGACCCGCAAGTATTTCATCAAACGATTAAAATGATTGGCCCTTTCGTCCGCTATGCACTGATGGTACGTTGAAATGGATTGTGGTTGAATGAATCGTGAAAACGTTGAATAGAACAATGTGAAAAACACGCTTTTGTATAATAATAGACGAAAATCGACATGGAAAAGAAAAAAAAATCTCACTTTTGATAAGAGAACATTAAGCATTATATCTGTACAATCACAAGTATTATCTCCATTATTTTAAATTAATTTTTAATTCCCCGTATTTTCCAGGTTTTTTTCCTGTGGAGCGGCAACCCTGAATTGACAGGTACCCACTTGCGTCTGAAAAAATTTCTAAACTATTATTAATGCTTAACTAATTATGTATGGTGGTATAAGATCCTACTATACTAATTTATGTACTTAGTAATTGTTACATTATCACATCCTGACACGTTAAGATGCTGTAAATTTTAGCAACTCGAATATTTCATATTTCTTTTACAATATTACAAGGAGCGTAGACAGATTTTTTAACAAAAAAATAAGCACCTTTTAAGCACTCAAATATTTTTAATCACTTTTCAGAAAGAAAAACAACATAATTAGGATACGTGCAGTAACCCTGAATAAAAAAAAGAAGCCTTTTTTAAAAACGCAACGCATCATGTATTATGGATGCTTCATTAAGTATGTATGCTGGTATCAATCAATTAGGGTGGTATTCATTACTTGTATAGCACAGGGTTGCCACTCAAACCTGGAGGAAGAAAAAATTCCCTGTGTTTCTCCTGTACATATATTATACACAGGGTTGGCAAGGTTTAGGACAGAATGGATTAATCCACAGTTTAAACCGTCCTGTCCAAAACCCCTTTGTCCAAAACTGTCCAAAACCCTTTTACTCAAATTACGTCACAATTTTATCAGAAAAATATTTAAGAGGTAAAATAAACATAGAACTAATAACATATTGATAATTAAGTATACTAGAGAATATTTGTTTTTAAAAGTATAATGTTTTATTGATATTGTTTGACTCTTCATCTTAAACAAAGGAAGATTAATCAGTAATCAAGTTCAATTGGTCCTCTCATTTAATAGTACATAACTGAAGTTTGGCATTGCCATACAAATTAAAATATTAGGGACTAAGTGCTTGGTTCGTCATAAACAGGTTTATTTATCTATAGTACTATTCAAGAATACTTTTTTTTCATTCATGGTCAATTCTTTTAGCATAGTGGTGATACATCACCAGTGTCAGTAACTGAAACTGATGTTATGCCCTTCAAAACTGTTAATACATTTTTCAGTTATTTTGTATTTTCAATTTAAACTAATATATTTATATTTAAAAACAATTTTTTTTAAAAT